ACAAGAGCCGAGTGGAGAAGCGCTCGGTTTCCGTGTATATAAAGGCTGAGATCAATGAGACAGTCTCACCGACCCCTACCCAGGCATTTAAGGTGGTGGGCAGGGGACATGCCGATACTCTGGCGCCTAAATTCAAGAAAAACTCCACACAAACCCAGACATCAACCCCCAAGACATCCATCAGTGAATTTCCGACCGATTTCATGTCCGATAAAGTAAGCGATTCTCATATGAAGTATATTTTTGCATATGTTTTGTGTTTTTACTATAATTTTAAAAAATGTTTTTCTAGTATTTAATGATAAGAAATTGTTTTTCATACTTTTCATTATCATTGATATAATTTAGACAAAGTATTACTGTTTCCATGAATCGGATCCAAAAAAATAAGATACTTTTCTTGATAATATATCCATTAGATAGCGCTTAGACCACCGTTTGAGTGGTTAGTATTTGATTAGATTTTGATATCCTAAATGAATATACTTTTTAATTATTCTGTTTCTAAACTGAACACATTATCAGTTTAATCATTGTGTGAAATATGATCTGTTTATTAGCTAATTATACATTTTTATTAGACATAGTCTACATTTACTGGATACTAACTCTTACTAGATAATTTAGTTTTGATAATTTAATTATTATAAATATAATTTTCTAATAAAAGCATACATGAATAATAATAACTTATTAATAATAAGTATAATTATAGTTTCAATTTTTATAAAATTGGCAGAAAATCAAATCTTTGATAGCGTTTAGAAAGCTTAAACCGATATTAACTTAAATCATGAGATAATAATAGATAGTTTGTCACAAAAACAGCCGATAATGTCAGGTCTTAGCAAATATTTGCTTAAATTTCTATGCATTTAAATCTCAAATTCAAAGGAAATTAAGAAATTGATTATTTAAACAAATACTTATAAATAGCAACACTAATCATATTTAAAATCAATACACAAATACTTAATTAATAACTATTTTTTAACCCACTCATTTAAATCTCAAATTCAAAGGAAATTAAGAAATTGATTATTTAAACAAATACTTATAAATAGCAACACTAATCATATTTAAAATCAATACACAAATACTTAATTAATAACTATTTTTTAACCCACAGTTTCGATACAATGGAGGCTTTATTTTCCACATAATTGTCTTTATATACATATGTCTGGCGCTGGCAGTGGTATGCGATGTCTACTTCTTGCAGTCGTTAGAGTACATAAGTTCCGGTATGTGACCGAAAAAGCTAATCCAGATAATTGTAAACTAGCTAATCTAACGATAAACTCCTAGCCCTAAGTTTGCCGGATGACATCGCGGGCGCCACCTTTATGGCGATCGGCACGTCAGCCCCGGAACTATTCACTAGCGTTATCGGGGTATTCATTTCTGACAATGATATCGGCACCGGTACTATCGTGGGCTCAGCCGTGTTCAACCTAATAGCCATACCGGGGTGCTGCGGGTTTGCCGCCTACTACAACCTCAAGAAAATGCCCAGGGTCAGCTCGTTTCCCATACTGCGAGACATGATCTTCTATGTGCTCACTATTATAACATTGATTCTGTGTATTAAGGATAACAAAGTCGATTGGTTTGTATTATTTGCTATGTTTTGTGCTATCATTTCGTGAATTATAGACACACTCTTTGGCTCTCATCTAATCACTCAACAGCCATTCCCTATTAACCTTCAAATGTCTACATTTTCTGTCGTTACCTAATGTTGTGACAAGAATAATGAGATATTTTGTTACATTTTTATTGCTGATAAGAATAGCTAATGAATCCATTATTAGGAATATTATGTATTTATTAAACCGGTATTAAGCTCTCAGACAGCACTCGAACTTCATTCAAATTTAGACTTATTTTTTCAGACAATACTTATAAATATTGTGATAAACAAAACAAAAATCAAAGGGTTAATGAATTAGCCATAGGTTTAGGGCATGTACAAAATGTAAAAATTTTTATTAAGAAATACTCACTAAATATCTATTGTAATCTAAAAATTTATATTAATAACCTTATCTATAGACCCATTTGATGCCATTACGAAATAATAACTTTCCATAGATTATAGTCACTTATTATTGCTTAATAACTAAATCATACGAATTTTAAAAAGCATATTTCTCCCTCGTTATTATTCTGTACATAAAAAGCATGAATAAATTTATCCCTAAAAATATATTAAATTTACACATAAATAGGCAAATGATTGGCGTTTGTAACGATTCAAACTAATCCAAACTCCTATATATATCATTGATTACCACAAACATTAGGGTCGAGTCGCTGACACTACTGGCCTTATACGCCGTGTACATCGTTATCATGTTTTTCAACGCCCAGTACTCGCATCTGATCACCGATACGGTGGACGAGGAGGAGGAGCCGCTTCTGAAGACGGGATCCACTCATAGCTCCATCGAAGAGGACTACGACAACAACCGGTTGGAGGACTACTCGAAGATCGAGTTAACGAAAACACAAAACGGAAAATACAAGGAAATCAAACCAAACGGCGCTAGAAATGAGCCAAACATTGAGTCCAATCTGTACCCAAAACTCGCGCCTAATGTCGAGATTAAACAGCAGACGGCTGAGGATGTGGACAGCGAGTGGACCGACCATTGGGTCATTAAGACACTGTTACTGCCGATGAATATCTTGTTTGCCTTAACGCTGCCGAAGCCGACAAAGTTTTGTTTTGTCATCACATTTATCATGTCTATCGTATGGATCGCTGCCCTCACATACGTCGCCGTATGGATGACTACAGTCGTCGGTAAGTGCTAACAGCCCTTTACAGCCCATATCTGGTGCTACGAAACAAACCCCTCATTTTGGATTATTTGCTAATTTAAGGCTATTTTCAGTACTTAAAAGAAAAATATACTAGCTATTAATTAGAAGTACGGTAATCCTAAATGTCGAGTTTGTATTGCAGTACCAGATATATTAATTGGTGTAAAAAATTCATGAATTACTTATACAAACTTATTTTTGTAGGCTATTCGATAGGAATTCCCGACACTGTATCGGGCATTACAATACTGGCTGCGGGCACCAGTATTCCGGAGCTCATATCCAGTTACATAATTGTCAAAAAGGCAGGCCTGGCCAACATGGCTATCTGCAACTCGATCGGCTCCAACATATTTGACATACTATTTTGTTTGGGCCTCCCGTGGCTACTCAAGTCGCTGGTGCTTATCATAACCAACGGCTCGGGCTTCGCATCCCTGGCCAACACGTCGATCCCCATCCAGAGTCAGGCGCTGCCATTGACATCACTTACACTCCTTATCACATGTTTTGCGTTACTTTTGACTCTTAAACTCACGAACTGGAGGCTCGGCTTAAACGTGGGGCTCATCTGTACTGTTATTTATGTGCTCTTTGTTGCCATATCGACAACACTCGAGATTAATGTTTAAATTATATGATTATATGTGGTGTTAATGACAAATATTTTTCAAGTTTTTATTATTATTATTTTGATTATCATTCAAATAATGTATGTTTTTCTATTGGTCTCAATATGCGCTTGTGTTGCATAACATGGTCTCTATTAATAATTTATATATAAAAAGTTTTGTAAGTTTTGGAAATTTAATGACATTAATGGTATTTTACATAAGCAACAAGTATTATATAATATTTTAAAAAATAAACAATGTACTAATATCAGTAAATTGACATGCAAGTAAAATATGTTTTTATATTTGCGGCGATACTTTCCAAGTTTTGAATTAAGTGAATATAAATGTCATTTCATAAACGTAGTTTATATTAAATGTTTTAAAACTAATTAAATTGCAATATGGGAAAAAGGTATTTGTAATTATCAAAAACACAAGTATTGGATATAAACATTTAATTATTGCAAATAAATACGATCTGTTAGTACTTTGCATGCGTACAGCAAATCCACACAAAATATAATTAAATAAATGTCAGCAAAAATTGACAAAACAAACGTCACGGATGAGAAGGAACGGGAGTTCACGTCGGATGAGGTCAGGGATCACGACGAGAGGGACTCCCTGTGGGTGATCGTGGACGCCGGCGTCTACGACGTGACCCGTTTCATAGACGACCACCCGGGGGGTGAGGATGTGCTAAAAGAGTTCGGGGGAAGGGATGCCTCCCAGCGGTTCCTAGAAGTCGGACACTCGGCCGACGCCCACGAGTTGATGAAAAAGTACAGAATCGGACGGGTTGTGGACTACGACGATACCGATGTTCCCGACGGCACCGACACCTCGGCCCCGGAGTACAGCGAAGGTGTGGGTTGGCTGCCACTGATGGCCGGCCTATGCGCCAGTGTTATCGCCTATTATGTCCTCAATTATGTGTTTTAAAATGGTTTTGAGAAATAAAAGTATTTCTAAAATGTTATCAATTCAAATGGTGTTTCAATTTTGTCTCAATATGTTTGTGTTTTATTAACTTTTAAACAATTTATTAACATGTGTTTATTAAGTGTGTTTTAGTGAGCAATGTATGAGTTGATTGAAAAGCAAATCATAATAAAATTACATATTTTTATTATAACTTTTTTGTTAAGTTAGTCTAAAGTTTAGATTAAATTTATTAACCCAACAAAATGTGTGATAGTTTGTGAATTTTTAATGTTTAAAAAGAGATAATTAATTTATAAGCTTACTTATTATTAATAAGTTATTAAATTACAATTTTACAAGTATTTTTAATTAATACTGAAATTAATGTAGACTAGAGTTTATAAAATTTATAAAAGTAGTAGATATTGATTAAATGTTAATTATAACAAAATACAATCTGTTAATACTTTTCTACATATAAAGTAAAAGTGATTTCAAATCCAAAAAATTAATTTATTTATTAAACAAATGGACAAAACAACCGCCAATTCAGGACAGGACAGGGAGTTCACGAGGGATGAGGTGCGAGACCACAACGAGACTGACTCCTTGTGGGTGATCGTAGAGTCCAAGGTCTACGACATAACCCATTTCCTGGGGGAACACCCGGGAGGTCGGGATATCCTCCGAGAGTACGGGGGAATGGATGCCACCAATCGGTTCAGGGAAGTGGAGCACTCGGCCGACGCCATCGAGATGATGAAGGCCTATAAGATAGGACGGGTGGTGGGCGAGGATATAGCCACTCAATGGGATGATGGAGACGGAGGGGACGGTAGTACTCAGCAACTGGCCGAACAATACAGTATAACCGTGGGTTGGCTACCGATGCTGATCGGCATCGGAGTTACTTTGATCTCCTATTATGTGATTAATTATAGCTTTTAAATGGTTTGTAAAATAAAAATAATTTACCAAAAGTTTTGTTTTAATAAAACTATTGAAAGTTATCGATGAGTTCGAAGTGTTTACTATTTTTGCCATAAGTTGAGTACATTTTGAACAATAATTTTCTCGCGCAACCAAAAAATCACTAAATCCTTAGACATTTGAAAAGCACTTTTGACGAGTGAAAGGAGAAAAAAGTTTTTTGTTTCGCGAATTGAATTCATTTTTTATCCATTGAATAATAACCACTTCTCTCATGTGTTTGATATGCAATGAAAGGCTTGGGAAGTGAACTCAAATTCTTAGGAAAAATTCTTATTCTTTGTGCGAAAAGCCAGAAGAATATACAGAATATACTGAAGAATACTATATATTATATAAAAGTCTGAACACAGAAAAGAGTGATGTCTTTAGGGAAATGTTTGGGTATTCGGCAGAGAGAGAGAGAGAGAGAGAGAGAGAGAGAGATGTAGCAAGCAACTTTGACAATGAACTCTCAAAAGCCTTTTGGGTTTCAAAACACTATATTATTAGTTAAGTAATGAATTGTAGAGAAATGAATGAATGGTGTAATTAGCTCTGATTGCAAGCAATCCTTAGGGCATTACTTTTTTCAATATAATTAAGTTATATTTTGTGAGTATATACTGTATGTTCCTGGTGCTTTCAGTGCCTTTTGTTTACTTTGTGTGCAATTCAATGGTTTATATAATAAATGAGAGTTTATTGAGTGGAAAATGTTTTTAAGAAATCTCTAATTACATCATACTTTCATGCATTCAACACATCGTATGGATTATGGTTTTTATTGATTTTTATGAGTACATAGGTTTTAATTTTATCTAGATAAACTGTAAATTGGTATCTATTAAAATATTTATAACAAAACCATATAAAATTGGATTATATTGGAGCAATAAGTATTTGGTAAAGTATTTTTTGAATTTAGAAATCACTAAACATTCATCAAATATTGTTTTATAAAAATTAACATTTTAGTCAATTGATTGCATAAAAAAATAAACATTAAAACTATTTTTATAAATAAATACAAAAATTGTTTAAATTCAAGAATTTATTTCATGACACGATTTATGTATAATCGATAAAAATAATCCAAATATTCTATACAATCAATAACTGTATGCTTGCTAATTAAATAGTATTTAAATATCATATAACGCTTAAAGTTTAAATAAATATATTTTATAATACAAACAATGAATCGACAAATGAATGGTCTATTACTCCATAATTACCCCATAATTGGGAAACCATTATAAATCAAAAAATGAAAAATGTATTGAAGTTCAAGAATTCTCTGCTTTTCATAGCCTTATATAATATATGAGAGGTTTTAGAGGACAGAAATTGAAGGGATTTTTGTGTAAACATTTAGATAAGAAAGACATAAAAAAATATTTTTATGTATTGAAGTTCAAGAATTCTCTGCTTTTCATAGCCTTATATAATATATGAGAGGTTTTAGAGGACAGAAATTGAAGGGATTTTTGTGTAAACATTTAGATAAGAAAGACATAAAAAAATATTTTACACCAAAAAACATAACATAAACCACTCATAAGAGCTGTACATATGAGGGTATGGCAGGCTATCGGTGCTCAATAAATGCTATCTTAATAACAAAACCTCTAAAACCTCTTATAGTTTACGAAAAAGTCTCAAAAAAAGTATTATATTTTATATGAAATATTTTGCTGACAATAAAGATTTAATTGTTTTGGTGTCGATATATAATATTTTCTTAAGCATGGTTATCACATATTTTCACTTTGACAGCAAGTTTTGAATGCCTTATCGGACACCAATGAATTGGGAGGCAAACATTTGCTGCTTTCCGTTGCGTCCAGGCGTCCAAAACCAACAAACCATTCATAGCCGCTCCCAATGACTTCAATTATGTGGCCATCGCTGACCGCGTCAGACATATTGGCTGTCTATAGACAGCCAATTAGTATACAAAGCGGTGACCTTAGGAATAGGAGAACCGGGAGGGAAGTACACCCCGTTTGCCACTCAACATGTAATTAAGTTAAATGATTGCCAATATATTCTCAGTGTTCACGCTATAAATGACAACATTTTTGTCTTTAAGTAATGATAAAATATTTTTAATCAAATTATAAATTTCAATGTTTAATAAAACGGCAACATAATGAAATGATTAATTAATTTGATTATCTACTGTCTATAAGGCGGGTCACGATCATAGCACCGGCCGTATAAGCCCATTGACAGGACTGGTTCATCAATGTCTTGTAAACTAAGAGTTACTCCGGAGGCCTCCATTTGATGAACCCATTTATGTGTTGAGATGGGCTTTAAATGGTTAGTTGTGGCGCTCGGATACACATAATTAGTGCTGAATTTGGCGCTAATTTTTATACTGTTGAAAATGGATTCATTTGATTTGGTTGGGAATGAGTGACAACTGTCGTCTTCGCACAGGAAGACACCACAAAACTCTTCACATAACGGGTATCGCAACTGCGAGAGTCCGTGTCCCGTCCGGTTGGCCACTATAAGCCAGTATGAGTTGTCTTTCAAAGACAGCTCATTTTGAACACTATAGTCGAGTTGACAGCAAAAGCCATTATTGCATACTTGGGCCCCATTTTGTTGGTCATTTAGCCGATAAAGAGCGGAACCCTTCAAAATCAATAACTCGAAGGGCTTATAGTCGGATGAATCGACCAAATCGTCGATTACAATGCGTTTGTTATATCTATTGGCCAAACATGTGGCGCCAGTATTCTCGCTATTGATGGGAATGTCAGCAATCAATATATGAGCCTTTTCTTCGGATATATCCGACACAATCATTGGTCCGTTTTGTCCCGAATATATGCCGCTCCCAACCGAACCTATCAATAGATTTGGATTCGTTATCAATATACAGATCACATGATAATACTGTAGTCATACCTGACTGCCGGAACAGCATGTTTGCGGCTAAAAGGTTGACCTGATTAGTGAAAGCCCAGCCCTGCTGAACCTGATTTGCCGATTTGAAGGGCAGTTCATCGACCCACCAGGTGGGGAATAGCATCGTCTGGACACCATATTTGCTGATGAGATCAGTTCCAGGACTTGGGAACAGAATATCAAAGCATATAAATAAACCCATTCTTCCGAAAGGAGTGTCGAAGTGAATGAATTCAGGTGTCGGCGGAGTGTTGAAGTGGTATTCGTGGAATAATTGCATTTTGTGGTACTTTGCCACTAATGCCCCGTCCGGACCAAATGCCACCGCAGTATTAAACAGATAATGGCCATCAGCGGGACAGTTCACATCGGGTGTAGTCTCGCACTCGAGGCCATCAGTGGGACAGTTGTTGACATCAGGTGTAGTGTCGCACTCGACTCGATCGACATAATTGGCCACAATATATAAGTTATTAGTTTTGGCTAAACAACTCAATCTGTATGTCTTCACTTTATCTTCATATTTGGATGGATTGTCGCAGGGATTATGATGTGCTAGCAGTGGGTCCGGGATACATAATTGGCCACAATATATAAGTTATTAGTTTTGGCTAAACAACTCAATCTGTATGTCTTCACTTTATCTTCATATTTGGATGGATTGTCGCAGGGATTATGATGTGCTAGCAGTGGGTCCGGGACTTGTTCAGCGATTTGATCGACTTTAGAGCGCGGGTATTGGGTACTAAGGAAGGCGTCCTCGGGATATAGCAATATCTGGACCCCCTTTCGGTCGCATTTTGTTAAATGAAGGTTTTACTCAATGATCTCAATGAACTACAGTAAGCACTACTGTACTGTATAATTATAACCATAAATCAAACCTCTTTGGAAGCGATGGATGTGATCCTTTCGAAAACATCGAGATTTCGCTTAATTATAACCGACGGCTCGTCAGATGTAAGGTTACCGAGGGGTAAGTGTTGGTAAACCGCGGCTCTGAAACAATCACCGCTTTCGCATGCGATGAATGATTTGTTTGAAATACAAATTAATAGCAAACAAATTAAACAAAAAGGATTCAAACTCATTGTGGCAATTACTTAAGTTATATTTAAATGATCAGCAATAATTATAATTTTTTAAATCATTTAATGCAAATTTGGTTTCTATGGCTCTGTATGAACGATAACCATCTCAATGTGTGATTAGATAATAAGTAGAAAACATAGTCTCATTCATTACTTTTCAAGGTTCAGTATATGCGGTGATATTAAATTTTAAAAAACATTTAATGTGTAAATAATGATTAGCCTGATACTCTGAATCGTCTCATATCCGGATCACTTCATACTTGGCTTTCTTTAGCGGCTGTGACTCTTCGCGATGAAGATGTGGAAGCAGTCGACGCTCCCATCGCTTACGTCCAGAGTTTGCTGAGTAGACGATACTTGCTTTCAAGACTCCTTTTGATGGCCGCCCGTCCCCGACCACCACTTTCCTCGTATTTATGAAATTCAGAGATAAAATCATAATTTTTTGTTTTTTATTTTCAATATAACGCGTTGTGTATATAATATTTCACACAAACCTACCGGGAGTTACAAATAATAATAATAACAATATTCTATGCCCTTTATATCAGAAAGTTATATATTGTTTCAAATACTCGGAAAAACAAAAAGCACACACAAATCCATGATTTCTATAGCATTTTCTCATGACTTCTCATGTGATCCATAACTTAGACAACAAATTAACTGCGAGAGTCCGTGTCCCGTCCGGTTGGCCACTATAAGCCAGTATGAGTTGTCTTTCAAAGACAGCTCATTTTGAACACTATAGTCGAGTTGACAGCAAAAGCCATTATTGCATACTTGGGCCCAATTTTGTTGGCCTTTTAGACGATAAAGAGCGGAACCCTTCAAATCCAATAACTCGAAGGGCTTATACCTGGATGAATCGATCAAATCGTCGATTACAATGCGTTTGTTATATCTATTGGCCAAACATGTGGCGCCAGTATTCTCGCTATTGATGGGAATGTCAGCAATCAATATATGAGCCATTTCTTCGGATATATCCGACACAATCATTGGTCCGTTTTGTCCCGAATATATGCCGCTCCCAATGGAACCTATCAATAGTTTTGGATTCGGTATCAATATACAGATTACATGATAATACTGTAGTCATACCTGACTGCCGGAACAGTATGTTTGCGGCCAAAAGGTTGACCTGATTAGTGAAAGCCCAGCCCTGCTGAACCTGATTTGCCGATTTGAAGGGCAGTTCATCGACCCACCAGGTGGGGTATAGCATCGTCTGGACACCATATTTGCTGATGAGATCAGTTCCAGGACTTCGGAACAGAATATCAAAGCATATGAATAAACCCATTCTTCCGAAAGGAGTGTCGAAGTGAATGAATTCTGGTGTCGGGGGAGTGTTGTAGTGGTATTCGTGGTATAAATGCATTTTGTGGTACTTTGCCACTAATGCCCCGTCCGGACCAAATGCCACCGCAGTATTAAACAGATAATGGCCATCAGCGGGACAGTTAACATCGGGTGTAGTGTCGCACTCGAGGCCATCAGTGGGACAGCTGTTGACATCAGGTGTAGTGCCGCACTCGACTCGATCCACATAATTGGCCACAATATATAAGTTATTAGTTTTGGCTAAACAACTCAATCTGTATGTCTTCACTTTATCTTCATATTTGGATGGATTGTCGCAGGGATTATGATGTGCTAGCAGTGGGTCCGGGACTTGTTCAGCGNACATAATTGGCCACAATATATAAGTTATTAGTTTTGGCTAAACAACTCAATCTGTATGTCTTCACTTTATCTTCATATTTGGATGGATTGTCGCAGGGATTATGATGTGCTAGCAGTGGGTCCGGGACTTGTTCAGCGATTTGATCGACTTTAGAGCGCGGGTATTGGGTACTAAGGAAGGCGTCCTCGGGATATAGCAATATCTGGACCCCCTTTCGGTCGCATTTTGTTAAAATGAAGGTTTTATTCAATGATCTCAATGAACTACAGTAAGCACACTCACTGTACTGTATAATTATAACCATTAATCAAACCTCTTTGGAAGCGATGGATGCAATCCTTTCGAAAACATCGAGATTTCGCTTAATTATAACCGACGGCTCGTCAGATGTAAGGTTACCGAGCGGTAAGTGTTGGTAAACCGCGGCTCTGAAACAATCGTCGCTTTCGCATGCGATGAATGATTTGTTTGAAATACAAATTAATAGCAAACATATAATACAAAAAGGATGCAAACTCATTGTGGAAGTTACTTAAGTTATATTTAAATGGTCAACAATAATTATAATTTTCAAAAAAAATGAATAAATCATTTAAATAATGTTTCTATGGCTCTGTATGAACGATAACCATCTCAATGTCTGATTAGATAATAAGTAGAAAACACAGTCTCTTTCATTGCTTTTCAAGGTTCAGTGTGCGGTGATATTAAATTTTCAAAAACATTTAATGCAGTGGGGCTAATGTGTAAATAATGATTAGCCTGATACTCTGAATCGTCTCATATCCGGATCACTTCATACTTGGCTTTCTTTAGCGGCTGTGACTCTTCGCGATGAAGATGTGGAAGCAGTCGACGCTCTCATCGCTTACGTCCAGAGTTTGCTGAGTAGACGATACTTGCTTTCAAGACTCCTTTTGATGGCCGCCCTCCCCGACCACCACTTTCCTCGTATTTATGTAATTCAGAGACAAAATCACAATTTTTTGTTTTTTATTTTCAATATAACGCGTTGTGTATATAATATTTCACACAAACCTACCGGGAGTTACAAATAATAATAACAATATTCTGTGCCCTTTATATCAGAAAGTTATATATTGTTTCAAATACTCGGAAAAACAAAAAGCACACACAAATCCATGATTTCTATAGCATTTTCTCATGACTTCTCATGTGATCCATAACTTAGACAACAAATATATAACAAAAATAATACACAAGAAGTATAAGAAAAAGGGAAAAAGTTTTTGTGTGCGAAAAAATTGCAGTTATATTCTGTGTTAGACATAAAAATGGTATTAGTATTATACTTTTCATTAGCTACTTATTTAGTGTGCTAGAAAACTGTGTTACAACCACACAATGGATAATAGGCTGTGCAATCATCATACAAATATCATCTCTGTATAAGAGGGTCGGGAGATATAGTGATGAGCGCAGAGCACAGGCGGTAATTATATACTGTTTGCCGCATCCATTGATAAGGATTAACATTTCCGGTTAAGCGAGTACTTCATTGTGAGTCCAATTGGTGTTCATTTATCGCATGTAACCATCATTTTCTGGTCCACTGTATAGGCCAAGCGATGCTCATAAATGCGGTTATGATAGCGACTAATGGACATGAAATAAATGGCAGACTATATGAACAATAAATCCAAACGAAAATCTCATCTGAGTTTGTGGTTGTGGTGTCTGTGCTCTACTTGCGCTCAATTATTATATGAAAACCATTGCCTCTCATTAGGCTTTCCCTCTCAGTTTCCAGGCCTTCATGTGCTCATAGCATAGGATAATTGCCTCTAAACTATAAAATATTTGAAAAGTTTTACACAATTATATCCCTTTCAATGAAATTAGATATACATAAGTGTTTTTTTGGAGCAGAGTAAATTATGTGCAATCGCTATGATATATATTTTAGATAATTAGAGATCCCGGTGCTCTGATAAAAATATGTATTTCAAAAATGTACTCTCAATTTCTATGCATACCATTTATATGGGATTTTAATGCCAAAAACATTTATCACTGATAGGGAGGACATGGGGTGCAAAAAATAGCTGATCGTCCGACCACTCGAGGGTAGGGACGGGAGGGGAAAGCCTACTTAACACTAATTTGCGGTCCATTGGATTAGTTACGAGGGTTTTGTTTGTTAGCGATTGTAAACTTTTACGGCTTTTTCGTGTATTGACGATAACTAGCGAACCAAACATACAGTTAAACACAATTGGATTATAGGCTGATGTGATAATTAAATCTGAAAATCCATTTTAATGTATGAATATATCTCTGGCAAAACGCCGGGCACTGGTAGGGAAGACACTGATTAGAGTGTCTATTGAGTCGGAAAGTATTTATGGGAGCTGAATGTCGGTGCGATGCCAACTGGCCTTAATGGCCATACTCTATGTGCTGTAAACACTGACAGCCCGTACAAAACAGAGCCATAAAATGGTTTTATCTCTCTTTACTTATGATAGAGAGTGAAAGCCATCGAAAATATAAAGAGAGCATCACTTGAACCCCACAAACCCATCGAGAGAGAGAGAGAGAGAGAGAGAGAGAGAGAGAGTCTATTAGAGTTTTTATGTAAGGGTAGCCAAGCTTACAGTTATTATCCACATTAATAGGACTGAGGAATTGTATTGTTATTTGTTATGCTAAAAATTGTACCACTTATGATTGAATTGAATTATTGTGGATTACATTCGCATGAATTACAATACATTTGAAGTGAAATAAAAAGAGAAAGAAATTTTGTACAAATGTTTTTACATTCAAACTTTGGTTATGTTTTTTATCAAAAGTTATTTAATAACTAGTGATAGTGTTTTTTGGCACAGACTATGAGATATCATATGGAGATGAGAGAGAGAGAGAGAGAGAGAGAGAGAGAGTGAGAGAGAGAGAGAGAGACTCCATTTAAAATAAATGACCTATTTAAAATTAAACAGTGTTGATATTTAAAACAATTTTTAATGTGAAACTTAAGACATTTTTTACATTTTCTTAGATTTCCAGATAGAGATGATTGCATATGTATTACATATCATCTCATATTTTATTCTTATAATTATAATATTAAATAAGAAGTTTACGAAAAACAAACATTAAATGATCTAAAAAACTTGGGAAAAAGTCTACACGACTTACCACTTTGCACATGAATGTAGAGAAAAGACATTTAATTTAAATTATTTGACATTTACCCAAAAATATATACCAAATTTTCCTTTAATAGTATGATTACTAGTACAATGAGTTTAAGGTTTAGTGTATTTTTATGCAAACACTTTTTCGGTAAAAAACAATTTCTAATGCCTTATGTGACTTAAAAGTTTGCAATATCTTTGAAGTATATTTGATTTTCTGTGCTCTCTCTCTCTCTCTCTCTCAACACAATTTGCATTATTTCGCAAAAGGTTTTTAACTCTTTTTAATGCTTTTGAGGTTTGAATTATTATTATTTTTAGTATTATTTATCGCGGAATCAATTGCGCTAAAAAACGACTTTTTACGTTAAAAAGAATAAATTTCAATGAATAACAGACTTATATATAGGTTTAAGAGAGAGACTTCCCGTTCATTTCCCTCCACCAAAAGCCATCAAACCTTAACAACCATTTCACTGGAAAAGAGTAAAAGAGTTGCGAAAAGCAAATAAAAAAGGAGAAAAACTTTTTAATTTTATCGCAAATATATCGCAAACACAACATTGAATTCATTGATTGCTTAACCGATAGGCGAGTGTATGTCTTAAGAGTGGCTAAAATAGGAAAAATAAATACTATTTTCCAGAAGTATTACAACAATTAGTTATCAAATCAGTTAAAAAACAAATACACAATTCATGCGATTGTATAGCGAGAACACACGCTAAAAGTCATTCCCATCTATTAATACGACTTTTAAGACAAATACAAAAGACTTGAATCTATTTATAGAGACTGGAGTTGAGGACAAACTATCGCTAAATTGTTTATTTAGACAAATAATTTGAATCTATTATAAGAAAACAGTGGCTCTACTATTGTCAACATAACAAGTCTTGTGTATGTATGCAATGGTTAGGCAGGCATACAGTTCCCTCGAAATTGATATCAATTTTATTACGGGATATACTGTTGTCGTCAGCGAACACAACCAATTAATTTGATTAGTAAACAGTCAGACAGTACTAGTCTGTAGTGGAGAGAGAGAGAGAGAGAGAGAGAGAGAGAGAGAGAGTAGAGAGAATTTGGATATATATTCAGACAATAAGTAACTTTAAATAAGAAAAATTGCATTTTTCAGCAAAAAATCGCGTTAACTAAGGCGCTATTTATTATGATTTTTATTATTATTAAGTTTGGAGTTAAGCATTAAAAAGAGTTAAAAACCTTTTGTGAAATAATGCAAATTGTGTTGAGAGAGAGAGAGAGAGAGAGAGAGATAACCCGCTTATACATAGCATGGAATAAGTGTATGGCTTTTAATAGTATTGTGTTTGCAATACACACACAGAATCTAACAGTGAATTTGTTGTCACAATTGCCTGAATAAAGTTGTTGTGTATGATTGGGCACTGTTTTTGTTGTGTATATACATGTTTGGCTCATACTATCATCGTTTCAATTATAAATTTAGATGCCTTTCCATCAACCATGAGTTCCCGTCATATAATTGATTAGTTTTTCTGAATTTACACTTTATTTTAAGGAAAATTCTTTTAATTTGTTGTTTGAATACTTTTTTTCGTAATTAAATGAATGAAAATTAAATATAGCATTGATTTTGAGTTCAAGTATTTTAATCGGAATCTTAGCGTAAATTCGCTATAAATACCACTTATAGTAGATTTCGGGATAAAGTTTTGTATTTTTAAAAACTTTTATATATATAAATATATTCACGAGTCGTCTATTTGTCTACAGAATTGGTCTCCACTTTTGTGTCAACACAAATGTCTTATACTTATTGTATATGTGTTTAAACAGCAGTTTTATTTTAGCCGTATTTTTAAGATGTGTCGAAATATTTGTGTTTATTTTTGAAACACTTTTCAGACTATTTCTTAAAAAATATATTCATTTCAGACTAGTCTTAATACAAATTCAAATGCATTTGCAACTCCCATATAAACTTTCGCGAGTGATATACGGATCGAGTGTTTATTATTTATTTACTTAAATAGTCAAAAGTCATTTAAATAACTTATAAAACGCTAGAATACTGTCCAAAACAATTCAAAATATATGATATGGAAAAATCAGAGTATAGTAAACAGTTTGCATTAAAACCGAAACCTAGATTAAATTAAATCCAATTGAAAGCTAAAAATATACAGAATGTTATTGAGAGCACTAGAAAAATGTTCCCGTTTTTAATGCTTACGATACATAATCTCATCAAATAGTTTAAGGAATTATGAGAGAGAGAGAGAGCGAGAGAGAGAGAGAGAGGAGAGAGAGAGGGGAGAGAGAGAGACAGTAAAAATAATGTATGTGTAACGCATAGAATCAGAATAATTTGTG